ACTTAGAAAACATAAAACAAAGAAAAAGAAAACACAAATTTGGTGGACACAAGAAATCAACAGAGAAAGAACAAAAACATACAAGCAAAAGTACCAACTTGAAAGAGACCCAGTTGAGAGACAAATAAAAATGGACACATACAACAGACAAAGACGCAAATACAAGGACCTAATTAATTAATCAAAATGAGACTCTATACGCGACTTCCTGACCAACAACGACCCGGACAACCCATGGGACATAGCTAAAAAAATAATTAGAACAAAGGTCCACACAAGACAGAACACTCAGATCAATACAGACAGAAGATGGAACATGGATCATCAATACTGAAGGGACACAATACGAGCATTACACCATAAATACTTTCCCACAGATGACCAAAACACAGACATCGACACGAATGACAAAACAATAATAAACTGGATAAATTAATGGGGGAATCGATTATATACGAGGACGAACCAGTTCAGTAAGCGATGCTGTAACGAAATCTTCGACAAACACGCGATCCGTAAGTGATTTGTATGAACCTATCCCTAACCAAACCCTACCATACATGTATCCCCAAAATACAGTGGCTTCGCTGAGACACTGGATAGATGAGCAAGCCCTATGCCGAAAGGTAGGTGGGTGTGCCGCGGGAGAGGTGTCTAAAAAATGCCTCTTTCCTTCGCAAATCAGGCTTCGGACTCCGTAATTTGGATTATTTTTTGCCTAGGCTCGGGTTTTAAATCTTGTATATTACCTTCGTTTAATAAAACATTCCAAGGAGCATGCAGAATGACTTGATTATCATCAGGATTATCTGTGTTCTCTTAAAAAAACACGTTACAATTTAACAAATAAAATAAACAGAACAGAAAAATCACATAAACTGGCACTACAAAGCATAAAATAATTGCATAATTTAGTTACAAAGCTAGTAAATAAATATCCTTATTTTTTCCATTAACTAACTTAAATACAAAAAAATTTTTGCATCCTATTATACCTATAAAATATGCATCTACCACATTCTCAAATTTTACATGTAACACAACACATATGACTAACAAACACATAGGCAGAAAATATTTATTTACATGATATCACCTTTTGAAGTCGTCGCTAAACAAATTCGGCTTAAAACTACTCCAACTGCCAGGGCATTCTCTGATCCTAACTAAAGCGCCTACATTTTGGTTATTCGATTCTTATGCCGGCAATGCCAAGGGATGTAAAACCCCATTAAGGGGTACGACCTGCTGCATCACATTCTAAAATATAGATCAGTCGTATGCCTAAGTACAGAACCATTTTCACAGTCTATAATGTTGAACGTTTATTCATTTACGCCTATAGTGATATCACCAGAAATAGAACAGGCCGAAAATCAGCCGGAAAAACAGCCGATTATTGAGAGTTCATCTCAGAGTACGCAAGACCATATGCCACTACCACATCATCAAAGTACCAATCCAATCTTACTCCAGGTTCATAGTGACACAGTGGCCCAGTATGTTCATAAAACCAATATGCTTAATACTGTTACGCAGCACCCTGTAGCGTGCTGCAGTCGTCATAAGTAAAGGTACGAGTAAATGAAGAAGATAGAATATTCCCGAAATGTCTCGAAATGTCATTCCTTGTCAAAGAAAAGTCCAGATTGTTCGAGAAGGGTCTATAAGGTCGAGGCAAGCTATATAAGTCGACGACCTGACGTCAGTTTTATGATAGACGTTAAACGTTAATGTTATCAGTTGGAGTTATTGTATCAATTGAATTGAGTTATTGTAAAAGTTGAGTAAAAATAAATTGTGATACCAAAAACCAGCGTAACAATACTATTGATGAAGGTGTTACTGATTTAGGTAACATTTTTCCAGTCGATAAAAATGATCTAAAGAATGAAGTGAGACTGGCAGAAATTACTCGTAAAACCGTTCCACTAATAAATTTAGAAAGGAAACAAAGAATGAAGGAATTGGGTTAGTATCAAATTGACGCAAACGTGATAATTTTGGAAGGTTGTTTTTACCAAGGCAGTGAAATAATTAGCACAAAATCAAGTGGTAAGCAATGTACAGCCATTGCAATAATCGCCTGCATTGCTTTTAACCTTGATCCTAACGCATGGTTTAAAAGTGACGTCGATTAGATTATAATGTTGGGAGACAAGTACTAACCTGAGTGTATTGTTGCTCGAGATAACCCAGACGATTGGAAATTAAATCTCGAGTACTTAGCTGTGACAGAGCTGTTGGCACGGATCATTTTTAACAGGCAAGCAGTTAATCTAAGTGTCAATTACGAAGCAGCCTATAATGGACATATCGATAACGATAATAGTGTCGAAGGTTTCCTTAACTTGAAAAGCGCTTTATTGATATTTTTGAGGGTATATTAACGTCAAATGCGATTACAGTCGCTGTACACTATTAATGAAGGTGTACCTGACTTGGATAACATTATTTTAGTTGATAACAGTGATCTAGAAGAAAGACTTGCAGAAATCACTAGTAAAAACGCCTCACCATTAATTTTAGAACGGGAGCGAAGAATAGAACAAATGGATAGCAAATTGACTGTTTAGTAAAATATTTCAATATAGTTTTGATTCAGTTATTTAAACGAGCACTAGGTGACGTGTCAAGTTCGACTATAGCAGGAGACGGTCACAATCCTGACACCGGTGAAATTATTTGCAAACTGTGCAAAGTTAAAGATATTAATTTTATAAAATGTATAAACTGTAACAATTGTTTTCATATTAGTTGTGCTAGACAATTAACGTTGACAAAGTGTTGTGAAAAAGTTAAAGAAATAATTACTGTTGACGACGATGTAGATCCCGCCTTTTTTGATGCCGTCGATAATTTAGTAACAAATACAGATAAGAAAATTGATATTAATATTTTCAAATATATTGTGAAAAAGATTTAATAATAAGTGAACTAAGAGATAAGATTAGATTATTACACGACAAACTGTAAATTAACTAAAAATCAGTCTAAAAAATCCGATAGCCGTAAAAACCTATCATCGAAACTGCTTCAAACTAGTGGCATATCCTTCAGACGCAAATGACAAACGAATGATTAATAATCAGTCATTTACTCGACAAACTTTAAATAAAGCTCTTCCTGAAACTGAAACGAAAATATTAACAAACAAAATTATTTATATAAACTATCCGATTCCTAAAGACAAATGAAGACAACTGGAAGTAAGTTACACATAAAAAAACCCATAAGGAAACAACGTAATCTTGTTGTGGGAAATTCTCTGCACCTTTCTCCGTTGAGGGTATTGACAAGGGTACATCGCTGCATGTTTACAATCTGATGCCAGAAACTACTGCTACTGAATTACATAAGTTTCTAATTAAAAATTTTAGCAATGTTAAGTGCAAACCTTAGAAATCATGATTTCCTCTTTTAATATCATGATTCCTAGTAGTGAATACGTCAAGGTTTTAATTTCATCCAATGTGTGTAAAGCATTTTTTTTATCCCACGAAGACAAACCACGACCACCAATTATCAACGCGGGCCCACTGAACACATAATTACCTTACTCAAAATTGTTTTAATCTCAAACTTTCCCAATTGAATTAGCGGTCTATTACAAATAAACTAAATTATCTTGATACTTTACTTAATGATGAACGCCCACATATTGTGTGTTTAAATATTGGTGTACAAGCTTTTATTGTCGTCCAATTAGGGAACATGATGGTTCGGTGATTATGTAAAATCTGACTCTGTTTTCCACGATCTTAATCTCTCAAATTTTTCAGAAGAAATGCATTGCGAATTTTGTGCCATTAAGTTTATTACGATGATTTTAAAGTGTGTGTGATAAGTGTATATCGGACCCCTAAGGGTAATTTTGAAATATTTTTAACAAAGTTGTTTTATATTCTTTAACACTGTAGTAAGTTACCTAAGAAAATCTTTTTATGTAGTGATTTAAACATAAATTTTTTGGATTATTCTGGTGTGTATAGAGAATTATTAGTTGATATTTTAATTAGTTTTAATTTAAAACCTACTTCTTTGGCTCTAACAAGAATTTCTAAAGATAAAAATGGACATATTTCGTCCTCTAACATTGATTACATTCTAACAAATGCTAATTTAAATAACTGTAAATAATAGGTTTTTGAAGCAAATCTAGCGATCATATGGCTTTTTCATTGGAGTACTATACTGTTGTTCAACCTAAATCTACTACCAAAAGATCTATTGTTTATAGAAATTTTTCTGAAAATAACTTAAGCATTCTCAATTATGAATGTTCTGTTACTACTTTTTATGAAATTTATATTAAAAGCTGTCACTGTTCACATTGCAGAACACTTGGCGTATCTCATTAATCTATCATTGACATCTGGCAAATTTCCAACTATATTAAAAATGGCCACCGTTATACCCCTCTTCAAGAAAAATGCAGCTGATAATATTGCCAATTATCGGCCAATTTCAGTATTAAGTATTTTCTCAAAAATTGTTGAAAAAATAATACACAATTACCTGTCTAAATTTTATATTGTTACAAAGAGTCAACATGACTTTAGGAAGGGCAGATCGACTTAAACAGCTGCCTGTGAATTTGCTGATTATACAAATGTCTTGATGATGGTCTTCATGTTGCTGGATTGTTCTTTGATCTTTCACGTGCTTTTTTTGACTTTATTGAAAACAAGTTGTATAATCTAGGTTTTAGAGGAGTTTTCTCTGAATGGCTTTCTAGTTTTTTTAGTAACCAAATAATGTTTGTTAAAGTAAAGGACAGCCGATCCAACAGGTTGATTATTTGAGAGTTCCGCAGGGGTATGTGTTGGGACCGCTGTTATTTCTACTTTTAATTAAAGACAAGCCTCAATATGTAGATGCAAATACAATCATCTTATTTGCTGACGATACATCAGTGGCGATCTCAGCACAGACTTCTGAGATACTGTCGCTAAGATTCCTTAATCAGATACCCTGTACTAATATAAAAAATATTTTACCTAAGGACCCCAATCGGTAATTAATTGTTACCAGTACTATATCCTGGTCTAGAAAATATTGTGGTCCTATCCAATAACTAGCTGATCCAACGCTGTAGAAACCACCAGCATGAATGAAGACTATAACTGGACGTTGTGGATTTGTTTTTGCAGTTGGAAGCTACGGACAAATTACAAGCGTCGATTATAATTTATCGGTGAAGGGATTCGAATGATTAAATAGGATGTAAAGGTGCCACTCGATTTAATAGTGTCCGTAAACCAGAGAGATATGAAGAGGAGGAGATGACACCACATACAATATGTGACACCACTTTTATTATAATGTATAAAATTGTTATCATTTGTATATCAAGTATAATAATTTAATTGCGTTTTTATTTATATTGTGGTAATTTATGTATTGGACAAAACTTAGTTATACCAAGTGCAGATAAGAAGAATCTTCAGGAATACCACTTCATCGGTTATACAAAAAACATATGTACGTACTCAAGAAAATTATTAACGCCCGAAATAAAAATTTTAATAATATATCTTCCGTATCCTTAAAAAATATTTTCTTTGCTATATAGTTTGTGACCTTTCTAATATATTAAAAAATCATGGACTAAACCAGTGGAACATATTTGTTTAGATTAGATAACTGGCAGAAGAAATAGTATATTATATTACGAGCGTAGAATGTGACATTTTTCACATGAGAAAAACTGTCGCACGAGGCTATAAAGGTTCAATCAAAATGTGGCTGATTTTAGATTTGTTTGAAACATGCAGATTTAATAAAATTGAACGCTTTACGAACTGGGCTAACACGCTTTTAACTTTTATTTAAAACTTTTTTGCGGGGTATACAAATTGAAATATTGAGCAATTACGCACTAATGCGATCATCAAACGAGGGCATAAACTTTGATACCAACCCGACCATAATGCGTATTTATCTAACACCAAGGAAATAATTAACCAATTGAATTAGACTTTGGTCTTGGCAAGCGTGTGGTATTCTCCCTCACTAAGCCGGATTGGTAAAAATTTAAGACCATATATCGAGGACGCAGGACCTCGTAACTAACATTTTTGACCAAATACGTTTATTGCAGATTTTGTTAAAGATATTGTGCCTCCATCTGTACGTCGGGGAAACAGTGATTTTTGACACTCTTATTCCCCGCTATTTATAGAAAACAGTACCTCGTAAATGTTAAAAGAGTTATTTAAACCCCCAATACCTCGTAACTGTCTAGTTTGCTAAGATAAGTTGGTAGTACTCTGTTGTGTCTTCACAGATCGTACTATTTTTATACAAAGAAAGAAAAGATTCTTAGCTTTATAATTACAATAATTGTCTTGTTATTCTATTGATGTATGTTTATTATCGTAAAACATTTCTGTTTCAATTAGCCAATATTATCTTTTTATTTACAGTTAGGAGGTTGCGAGGTCCTACGACGACAAAGTAAAGAAAAGTATAAAAAGTTACAAATTACTGCGCTGTGCTCCAGGAGCAAAAATTAATGAAAATGGGTATACAAGAAAACAAAGAAAATTTTGCTGGCTTGTACCAAAAAAATGTGTCTTATAATTTTTCTAAAAAAAAATAATATTTTTCATGAATCGTTAAATGAAATGAGCGAAGAAGAAATTATGGTTTGTAGCGTACTACTAAGTAAGCAACCAACTATACATCGTTGTAGCATATTACTAAGTATACAACCAACTATACATCATAGCAGAGGTTTTGGACTAGCGGGAAGAGGTCGGGCAGTTAACCTAAAAAAACGACACGTGAGGAGTTCGCTCGGTGCATGATTCTAACAGTTTGCCTTTTTTATCAATACGCTTTCTTTAAATATAATTGTTATGTTTGGTGTTTTGTATTAACTAGCTTTCCTATTTCAAGGCGTTGATTTTATTGTGAGAGTGAAAGAACCCCAGGGAATACACCCCTTACAAATGGCAGCCTGACGTAAAGCCAAGAAAAAGGAAAGCACCTATTTGTCTTCTAACAGGTATTCTTAGTTCTAAGAAAACTATAGACTTTATTTTATGAGTGGTTGTAGTTACCAATCGTTAGTGAAAAGTACTCATTATAAACAAGGAAAACTGTTCAGATTCTCAAGACAAATTCAAAATCAGACATGCTAAATTGTATTTCGTTTAAATAGACTTGCCGGTCCCAGTAACTGCTATTTAATTAATGTTACATGTTATCAATTCGTCATTATTAGCTGTGATCAGTTAATCAGTTTGTTTTATGCTTCTGTAATATATTATTTGGATATTCGACACTCTACGTCGTTTGGCCATAACTGTTGTTAAATGTTGTTACCGTCAGTTGAACCATAACTGTTGTTACTGCTGTTTGGACCAAACTATTTAAAATATTAGACAACTAATTTCGTGATCGCGTATTTATGAACTTTTCTGGCTGAACTGAGTAGGTCAGAGTCGTTAGTGTTCAGCGATAGTTTTACAATTGAACTTTTTAAGTGAATTAAGTATATTACAAAGTAACATATTTTAGTAATCTAATTACTGTTCTCGTTTGGATAAAGACATTGAAAATCAAAAAGGAACCCAACAAGCCAACTGCCCAAGTTCAAAGTGAACCGGTAGTTAATCAGCAGGTGTTGACTCCTGAAATACTACAAGATCTCATTGCAAGTCTTACAACAAACACTGCAGCCTCGGTAGATAAAAATGCAAATTTTTTACAGTGTACAACTCGTTTTCCTGCAAAGCTGGTGAGAATGTCGAAGCTTTCATTGATTCTATAACAGTTTACAAAGAATGTGTAAATATAACATGCTTTGAAATGATTGTGCATACTCCTAACGGATAATGCTGCTACTTGGTGGCTTGGTATAAAGACATCCGTGCAATCATTCGATGAAGCGATCATATCCTTACGCCATGCATTCGGGTATGCCAAACCGGCTTAGCAAATATATAAAGAGTTATTTTCAAAGGAACAAGATAAGAACGAACCGACAGACATCTTTATTAGTAATGCCCGTGCGTTACTTGCACGGTTACCCGCTCAGTCTATTGTCTGCGAAGAAATACAGCTAGATATGGTGTTTGGTCTTCTTAACTATAAAATTCGAGAAAGAATGCAACGGGAGAAAATTAAAACGTACGATTGAACAGACATTATTAGAAAAGAAAAATATGGCCTCAATCGGCACTTCAAACATTGATACCAATAAAAAAAAAAGTCTCTAATATGCAACTACTGCAAGAACTTCGGTCCTGTTAGAGAAGAATGTAGAAAATTGGCGAAAACTCGGCAAGATCAAGGTTCCAAAAACGATAATGGCTATGAAGCCCGAACCTTTGAGAAAACGTCTCAGCCAATTAATGCAGATCCAGAAATTAATAAGCTGATTTGTTACGGATGCGGCAAACCCGGATTCTTTCGAAGTAATTGTCCCCAATGCAAGCCATCAACTTCGACCTCTGCCGTAGATAGCGAGTTTTACTACCAATCATTCGCAGATGATTATCAAAGCAGACTGTTAGTCAGAATAAAGATCGCTGGCTCATCAAGGATGGCGTTCATTGATACGGGCGCTAAATCTAGTATTGCTGGCGCGTCACTTAGAAAAATAATTATTAAAAAAATATTCCTTACCAAACTCAGAAAATGAAAATGACATTGGCTGATGGGAAAAATCACCTAGTAGACGCCTCGGTCTTTTATGTATACCAGAGGGAGAGAGAACAATTTAATGAACTAATATTTAAAAATCATGAAGTTTTCTCTCCGAATTCCGAAGCGACGCTATTTGCTGAACAGATAATAAAACTAAAAGACGATGTTCCCATATCAGTGCCGCCATACAAAATGTCGGAACCGAAAAGGAAGATCCTAAAGGAAAAACTAGACCGCCTTCTAAAAGATGAAATAATCGAAGAATGTGAATCTTCATACTCGGCCAATGTCGTTCTCGTTCCGAAGAAGGATGGACAAATGAGGCTATGCATCAATTATCAGAAACTAAACTCGGCCACTAAAGCTGATAGGTATCCGCTTCCACGAATGGATGATCTACTCCACTCAGCAAAAAAAAAACAAATTTTATGTCTACACTAGACCTCAAAGCAGGATACCATCAGGTTTCAGTTCGTCCGTCTGATCGAAACAAGACAGCTTCTATAACGCCATATGGACTTTTTCGTTACATTCGTATGCCGTTTGGCTTACGCAACGCCACGTCAACCTTCCAGCGATTGATCGATAGATTCCGGGCTGGCCTATAAGATATTTTAATTCTTGCTTATCTCGATGATTTATTATTCTTATCACAATCATATAAAGACCATCTTCGTGACATGCGTTTTCGACAGATTAGTCTTATTCCGATTGAAGCTAAACCGGATAAAATGTACTTTTGCATGTACTTCAGTACGCTACCTTGGTCATGTTATCACGAAAGAGGGAATAGAGCCAGACCCCTCCAAAGTATCTACTATTCTAGAAACGTTAAGCAGCTGCTGTCATTTCTTCAAACTTGCTCGTGGTTTCGCCGGTTTATGGAAAATTTTGCAGAAATCTCCAGGCCTCTGTACCGTACATTTTAAGGACCGACGCAAGTTCCTATGCACTGGGAGCGGTTCTCCTTCAGGGGGGAGGGAGCTGACGAGAGGCCAATCGAATATGCAAGTCGCCTACTAACAGCTGCTGAGAGAAATTACCATACAACGGAAAGAGAAGCACTCGCTGTCGTGTGGGCAGTAGATAAGTTCCGTGGATACCGCGAGGGTGCTACGATTATAATACAAAGTAATCACCAACCGTTAAAATGGCTAATGCCAGTTAAATTTATTTAACTCGAAAATAATTTTTTTAAAAAACAAAAATTTACTTTTCGAAGATTAGAAACTTTATTTATGACTTTATTCTACAACAATCTAAGCTGGAATGAATTTTTATAATATAATTTTAATGATAATAATAAATGCAAAGTTAACAGTTTGCGCCGTTTACGGTTTTATATTTTAATAGACTCGACGTTTCTTCTTATATAACTCCTCCCTCCTTAGGCGAAAACAATACTGATATAAGGTTGTTTTCGGGTTGTTGGTTTTCTTCCGAGAGATTTTGGTGATTTTTGGATTTCTTCTTTCGGTACCATACGTAGATAATAGTAGATA